ACCACAATACTGATAAGTGATTAATAAAAGTCAAAAGACCAAAGAGGTCATCTTAATACCAAAAAAAAAAAAAATTATAAGATATTATTTTTGAAAGAATCCAAGCTTACAATGTTGTACAAATATTTCAACTTATCATAACAAATATGGAATGTTTTTACAAAAGACGATTATTAAGCATTACTAATCAGCATCTTGGTCACTTAGAATTATCAAAACATTTTCTTTGTCTCAGCTAGACAATGGTAAATTAGAAAAAAATTCAATTTGATATAATTAATAATATATACATTGTACCAAGTGTAATGACAGTTAGTAAAATATATACAGTTGATCCATCTATTGAGACATGCACATGTGTTATTGGGCTTGAAGGATCTTTTTGTAAACATCAAGCCACCATTGCAGTTAAATATCATAAAGGGTTATTTAATTTTATTTTCATCCTTTCTATTAATAATTGTATGATTTATCATTATATTGCCTGTGGTAAGTAAAATTATACATAGTATATATGTATTTTATTTGTATAGTTTTAATATATTTTTAATTAAAAGGGACTGTTACAAAAGATTCCACATTTTATATATCTTTGTGTGCACTGATTATGCTAGAAAATAATCAAATGACTAAAAAAATCATACAAGCTGTTGATCTCATTTCTAAAGTTGACAAAACTATGCTTATTGCAAATGGTAATAATTGTGATAATATGTGGTAATATATATAACATATATATAAATTATTAAAAATAATAAAGCTACTAAATAGTTTTGTTTTTTTTAGTAAATCTATTAATATAGAAGACATAAATATGCATATTGAGATCATCAAAGATTTCTTTCAATGCATTTTGAGCAAAGCAAAAAATAATAGCCAATTACTTACAGGTCTTGAATATTTTAAAAAAGGATATGAAAAGGCTGAATCTTCATCAGATAGAAAGTTAGTTTCTTACCTCTATCAACACAATGCTATCACTCAAGCTGAAACAATATGAAGTGGTGCTAAAATCAGGGTACAACCAACATCTGTTCAATAAAGAAAACATAAGATATCTCAAGAAAACATTAATCCAACCATTATGAATATACACAAGAAGAGAAAAATGCCAAAAAAACTACACAAATTATCAAAAAACATTGCTGAAAATAAGCAAAATTAAAAGTTGCAATCATTAAATAAATTAGTTATTAATATGCATTCGATAAATTTATTATATTATTTTTATATATATTTTATTATTGTATAAATAATAACAATAATAAAATACCTTAATACCAAAAAAAAAAAAAAAAAAAAAAAAAAGAAAACAATAATAAAATTTATTTTGCAATTAAAAGTTGCAATTATTAAATAACTTATACATATATGTAGTCATTAATGTTTATTAATAAATTTATATATTTTATTATTATACAAATGGGTTGCTATTAATAAAAATCAGGCAGATTTACATTTAAAAAAAAACTAATACTTACCTTTCATAGCTTATATCTCAATGAATTTTGAAGCCAATCTAATTATTCAATAATCAAAAGAAAGCTTAGATCACAAGCTTTCTTTTGAATATTAACTAAGTAAACTAGCTTCTAAATTCATTAAGATATGAATTTTTTTAAAATGTTAATCTGTCTGACAGCAGTCCAAATAATACTGATAATAATAATAAGTTTATTTTGCATTCCTAAGTAGTCATCTGGAGTATTATATGATCTTTCAGAATACAACCTTGTACACATTTTCAATATGCTATACTCTGTTTCTTCATAAGATTTGACAAGTAATAAGGCTTCAATTAGAAAAACAGCTTGTCATCCATATACAAGCTAAAAGGAGGTATATCTAGTTGTAGCATGCTTCTTTGTTTGATAAGCAAGCAGTACAGCAGATATATGTAAGTCTCAGTCATCATTTCCTTTTACTTTAGCAAGTGATTCATATATGATTCAATTAAGACAGTCAACTATTCTATTTTTCTGTAAGTGATATGATAAAGAAAACTTATGTTTGATAAAAAACTTTCACATAGAATATGAATAGTTTCACTAATAAAATTTCTTTCTTAATTAAAGAGAATAATCTTTTGTGTTCCATGTTGACAAATAATTTCTTTAAAAATAAACTGAGCCAAGGTATTTGCTCTAGTATTAGATATAGCAGGACTTCTGGCCATCTTGTTAAATAGTCAATAGCAACAATAATATATTGATTATTTTGTTTGGTAATTAATAGAAAGTCCTACTAAATTAATACCAATTCATTCAAAAGCTTGTTCTATTTGAATAGGATAAAGAAGTTCAGTTCATTTGCCTTTTAGTCTTTTTTGACATTCCTCACATGTTCTAATATATTCTTATACATTTTGATACATTTGGTCCTAATAATATTGTTTAACTATTTTATAGTACTTAGCATTTGTTCCTAAGTATTATATGATAGAATGTTTATGCATCATATACAGAACAGATTCTATTTTATTCTATTTGATAACATGAAGAGGGTACTAAAAGTTCTTTTTGTTTTTTTTGTATAATAGTCTTTTCTTAGTAATAAAATGTTTAGCATAATGTTGTATTTGGAGGTGAGTCAGTAAAAAAGAGACAAATTATTTTTAGTGAAATTTTTTTAATTTTTAAAGTTAAATAACTCAACAACTATTTAATCAAATTTGCTAAAAAATTTTTTATTTTAATCTTGAAATTATATAGAATTAAA